TTCGATGTCATCCCAAGTTTACATAGAGCTCTCGATGACTCGGGAGGCTCCTTACTATGTAATGCGTATGATTTTTCAAGTGGGCAAACAGTTTAAACCGTATGTCAGCATGTCGAGTCGAAGTGTCAAACTTGGATGTGTATTGTCAAACTTTTGTGCGTATTGTCAAACTCGTGTGGAATATTGTCATTCTTGATTGTAATATATTTTGCCGGTGTCAAACATGAATTCTCATTGTCAATCTTGGTTGCTACAGAATAGAGAAGTGACAAACTTGGATTTTCATTGTCAATCTTGATTGTAACATATCTCGATTATGACATACTTGAATTCTCAAAGTCAAACTTGATTGTAACAGAATTGAATTGTACATACTTGGATTCTCACTGTCACTCTTGATAGTAACATTGTCATTCTTGTCTGCTCACTTGTCAAACTTGCACGGGAAAAGGTGTAGTGTAGCAGTTTTCACCATCATACATTAGAAACCTGATTTCACCCTGTCATACCATCATATCATTAATACCATAAAGTGGATTGTATGTCGCAAACGGGCCAATAGGGAGTAGTACTACACCCTTACCTCGGGTGTAATGTTGAGGCTGCCACACGAAGGACTATTGTGGAGATGATTCGTTTCATATACTGCAACAACTGGACGAAAAAAGATATCACCCAACCGTCCCTGTGACCACTTCTAACCCGACTATCACATGTGCTCTCGAGGAAGAAACAACGTTGATGGTAGTAGTAGTAGGAATATACAACAGTAGTAAGAGCATTCACTCATCAGTAGGCTTATACGTTTCGGTCATCCCCCAGGACGGTGGGTACCATTTGGGAAAGGCTCTCTTATATAACGGCATAACAATTGTGTCGTCCTGAGTAACTTGACCGTTGAATCGACACTTCATGTAGCCGTGCGTCCCCAAGGCCTCCGTTATATGCCCCCTAAGACCCTTCTTAGACTGAAGCTCCACCGGCTTGAACCAGTTGATATCATCAGGATTAAAGAACATAAATCGGACCACTGATTTGCTCTTGTGGGCGCGATAAGGGTATCTACTTTTCCAACCTACACAGCCAGAACTGATGACCATGATACTCACCCAGTAAGGACAATTCTCTTGATGAGGACCTTAGCAGGGAAAGAGCCCTCAACACTCCCCCAAGCTGTCAGCCGTTTACCATCTGCTGTATACATCAGACAAGGCGCCGGAGGGAACATAACCGGCGCATAGAAACTAAGCACAACCGCACGACGAAATGAAAATATTATGGGAGAGCAGCACTCCTAAACCGCGAAATTACGGAAATTCCTGAAGGATAATTTTAGGGCGCGCGAAAAAACTACTACAAGGCGATATTCGCTACTAATGGTAACTCTGCGGATACAGAGCGCTCGATCGAAAAGACACTATCAACAACGCTCGGGTGATGTGTCCTCTCAAAAGGTAATTCCGAGGCTCTCTAAGGCGTTACAATAATAATCATCCTTACCAGGCCAGAGTAGTTGCCTTCGGATTTGGGTGGAAGAACCTCAGCATCCTCCCCTTTTCATCAGCTGCCCCTCCCGAGCTGCTCGAACCTCGGATGTTCTGAACACATGACCATACAACAGCCCATACACCACCGCTTTCCTTGTAAATGTCAAAATCGAACAACTACAACTAAATTTCAATACCACTCGTCGCCACAATTATATTCCGAGATTGATAGCAGCATCGCGAACAACAAACGGTCAAACTGATAATTCCACAAATCATCCTCCAATCAGGATGGTGAGGTCCCCGAGCCCATGCCGCTTACACTAGCATAAGTTGGCCTCGCAGGAAGACTTCTGAAGCCGCAGCGGAGCAACACCACCTCCTTAGATTTAATCACAACATCATCCGTCCTAACAACATAACCGTCACGCGCCACAAAATTACCCCTCATCCCTCGCTCACTCCGGCGTCCGACTGAGGCTAGCATGCATCACAGTAACTCGGGTCTCGTGACGGTACAGGGAAGAGACCACCAACGGGACGCGGTTATCGAAAGTGAGACTCTCCATGCCAGAAATATGCAAAGTCACGTAACTGAGACGGACACTCTACCAAAAAAAGCCAGAAAACTTCGCATAATCCTCACAGGAACCGTCACGCGCCACAAAATTATCGCCCCAGTGCTACTTCCCCGCCTTAGCCTCCGCCTTAATGCCATTCTTATACTCAGTTTTAGCCGCCTTTGCTGTGGCAGAGAAACTCTCGAACTCCCATATTCTACTGTACTCTGTAGGAAGGCTCTCATAGGGATCCCACGTACTCGTACGGAGAGACTGCATCCCACGATACTTCTGGAATCTGCTAGTAGATAGTGATAACAAGCATGCTAAGGAGGTCCCAGGATCGATCCCTGCACCCCGCATTATTATCACCTTTCTCTCGCAGGCTTATCACAGGGGGTATCAACTTCATCAGGGAAGTCCATCTCCTCCTTGGAGCGCATCTCCATCTCAATCTTATGCTTCACCTCAACCTGCTGCTCCGCCGTCTTGTCATCAACAGCTGCCCTCTAAACGACCACCATAATATACTCTCGGCGATCCCATACCACACCGCCGCCATTTGACACCACAATCACCCCCCAGTACTGCCTCTACCTCATTATCATCGAGCATCATCTGATCGTCGCCGTCAGCCTCCTCTCCCAGCCAAGCAAGCTCAAATTCGCTGAGACCAGCACCTGTACAAAATACAATAAAATTGACCCATGGGAGAATCGAACCCACGCCCTTCGGCATGCTAGACCCAACCCTTAACACCTTGAGGCATTTTAATCATTCTCTTGTTAGCTTCATTAAGCTCCTCCTCAGTAGGCCAAGTCTGTTCCTCATCGCTCGGATCATATGGCCTCAGTCTCTGAGCCACTTCATACAACCGTCGATCGATCTGAAGCACTCCCTTCTCCATCACGCGGTCCGAATTGCCCCCTACCAATTCCCCAGCACTCCCCGTGATGCCCTCCAGTATAGCATCACCATAGCCCGTGATGTGCACGCATGCCCCCTCGCCGTCCTCAGAAGTCTCCCCATAGTTGCAGGCAAACCCTGTTCCCTTCACCCATCCCGACACCGCCCAATGCCCGTTGGGCTGACCAGCCTCTGGCTCGATGCGATCCACTATCATATAACCCTGAATATTTACGAGACATGGATTCGAACCAGAGACCTCCCGCAGTAAGCATCCAGACTCACTGCTCTACCGTTCCACCAATACTACCCTTTCCTCTCTCCATTTCATGCCCTCATCATTCGTCCCCACGCAGGCCTGCAACCCTTTCACAAATGAATCCGAATCCTTAGGAAGGTTATACACCTTCCCCTGAGCCCGCGGAACCTCCGAACGAAGGTACCTGCAACAGCATCTTCCCAACCACTTCTCATAACACACTGAAAAGTGCCGTCACCATCCTCTACACTGTATGCCCTATTCCAAACCCACTACGACTATAACGACATATATTATGCTCACGCAAAAAGACTTCATCATTCCAGACGATTATCACTGGCCTCAAGAGAGTACTATAAAGAATACCATGTAAAAGTGCCTTTGGTTGTTGCGGACTCAACACCTCCGAGAATCCCAAATACCTCTGAACTGTTTTGAGGCTGAGGTCAAGCTGCCTGCCAGAAAGCAAATCCTCCCCCGTATTCTTGGACGGCGCCGTCACACCTATCACTTCACCCGGCATGCCCTAAAATACACCCACCAGGATTCGATCCGGGGACCTTTCGATTACCAACTTACATTCATCTTCAAATTGGTCAGGATATCATACCCCAGCTCGTCAAATGCACTGTGCTCGTGATCGCATAGCCTATCCCCCACGAAGGCCCCCACCAGAACATCACTCGCCAACACCGTATCCAAACAGCTATGCACCGTCCTCAACGGCGAGGCGATAACCCTCACACTACCAAGGTCAGCAACATTTACTCCATCCTCTTTCCATTCCATTCCGTTCCCAATAAACCCCCACAATGCCCTCATATCGACCTCACCATGAAATGCCACTACCGCCACATTCAAGGGCCCCTTGCTGCCGTCCTTGCCCTCAGCTACCCTCCTCTTAGCTACTATGGACTGCCTTCTATTTTCCCTCAACTGCCGTGCCTGATTCCTCCTATCCTGTTTACTAATCTCCTTATTTCCAACTCTAATGCTCTTCACAGAGCTCCTCCTTCCCTTATCCACCACCTTCTTACTACTATGAGGCTTGTTCGTCTGCCGTAGACCCGAGCTTGACTTGTGTTGATGAACCATGGACGACGGCAACTACAGCGAGTAGACTTTACCAAGGGAGAAACACCAACTCGAGGACTCAAATAGTGCTGGTAGAAACGTAGTAATAGACAATTGTGATCAACGTAGAGGCTAAAATCTTCCTTTACCCTTCCCCTTCCCTTTCCCCTTCCCTTTCCCCTTTCCTTTCCCCTTTCCTTTCCCCTTCCCTTTGCCCTTCCCTTTGCCCTTCCCTTTTCCTTTTCCTTTCCCTCGAGGCCTGCCCTCCTCCTCCTCCTCCTCAACCGGAGCTATCGCCTCAGCCGACACCACACCACTAGACGTAGGAGCATCATTGAGGGCCGCTTCCACCTCATCTGCGTAACATACAAACCCAGTCCACTTGATACGCACCTCCACCTCCTACCTCCCCGAACCTCCTCTATCTCGAAATCCTTATTGCTGAACAACTTAGCAAATCTATCATCCTCCAACACTTGCTTAGCCGACTCGCTCGAGGACTTCTCCAATAAGCGAGCATTGACCTGATCATTACCATAATACCAGCGAATACTAGCAAACCCCCTTCCCTCTACCTTGGGTGTATCAACATGCTTAGGCGCAGGACGGCGCATAGGGCGCTTAGCTTCCACTGCTTGCTGTAGACGCTCCTTCTCATGCTCAGCCATCGAGAATGAAGATGTGTCCGAGAGCTGACAATAATAGAGCTCCACTACGACGACACTACGTCATGTTCAGCAGCTCAACGATCTACCAGCCATGCAAGAAACAACCCTCCCCCTCCTCATATACGAGACTACCATTTCATATCTTATACCCTTTATTATATGCATAATACTAGATTTCCCCCACCCGTTTTACGTGAAGTAGCGTAATACTCCGTGAAAAACGCGATATTCGTGGCGCTATGCAGTAGTCGTGGAGTATACCTTTCACCAGTATTTTTCATATCACTAGGGTAGTGAAACGGTGATAGTAAGACTGAGAGTATCAAATTGATAACGACCTATAATATATACAATAAAAATATATTTCTCTTGACGAACTTCCCATCGCTACCTTAACGAGTTTGTCATGAAGTCTTCGGTCCATCCAATACCCATGCATATACGCCTTCAATAGACTAGTCCCGATAAGACTATCAGCACCACTTAGCTGTTGGAGATCCTTCTTAGTAACGAAGACATAATCATCATAAACACTCGTCACGGCTCCACTAGTAGTCTCCTCCATTTCCTCCGTGAGACCATCCAAGAACCCACACCATTCAGGAGCCACTCCCAGCTCTGGGATGAAGTATGTTCCTATCCGTGGCTCGTCACGCGCTGCGAAGAAGATACCCGAACCCGGCCACAGAGCGACGTGGTTGATAGCAGTCTTGGAGGGGATCGACGTCACTACCTCAGCCCGGCCTGCCTCGGGCTTCCAGAAGGTGACCGTGCGGGAGTCGGAGGAACATATTACACCTCTGGAGTGCCACTGTACAGTGTGGACAGGTACACCATTACGATGGTCTCGCTCTGCTAGAGGACGACTCGATCGAATATCCCATACCGTCACGCGCCCCGAAATGTCCCCTGCTGCTATCTGCATGCAGTCCGGAAGGCTCCAGGCCACCGAGCGGACCTCCGCAGGAGTAACCACTCCCGAGGCGACGGCTGAGGGGCCAACTCGAGTGTCTGTGATTTGGACTTGACCATCAGAGCCGCCAAAGAGGAGTAAAGGGGCACCATTAGGGGCTAGGGCAGAAGCATCTAAAATTACCATGTGGACCTAAACTGTATCTTACATCGATGAACCTACTGACGAACTCCATGTTCCTAGCGATCAAGGGGGCAGCGAAAATGCCCTCTTCTAGGTCCAGTCGGTATATCTCGTTACTAGAGGAAGTCACATACAACAAACATGTAGTCTTATCGTACTGGAGGTCTCTACCAAATTTGGGTATCTGAAAAGAAATAATTTCACCCCATTGACTTTCGGGGGATTAGGCCTTACCCTGAGCGTATGATGCTTGCCGTATTGGGCGTGGAATTCGATGCTCCTATCTGAGCCTAGTATGGCTATCTTCTTATAGTCCTCTCCCAGGAATATGGCGTCCACTGCCTCTTGGTCGAGTCGTCGGGCACACTTTAGACCCAGCTCAGCTGTTTCGTAGAGACGGATTTCAGGTGGGTACACTCCCGTTGCCAGGATGCAGGATCCATCAGGAGAAACTCGGACTCTGAAAATGGCATAATTCGGGCCTATTTTGAATCTTTAAAGATACTACGTAGTGCTCGTCGTAGGGAACTCGAAATCCTGCAGTAGTTCGAGTCGTCGTCTATACTCAGTATCATATCGTAGAGACTTGTTGGTCTTCCTGGCCTCCTCCATGAACTGTGGCGTAGACTTGCCCGCGGCCAAGTCGTAGACCGCCACATCGCTGTGGATGGATTTCACCAATCCAGTAGGAGCAGCCATCGTAGCGACGTGTGTAGAGAGGAGAACAAGTCGATTCCCGTGGATGCGACGCTTTAGCGCGCGCCATGGTGATCGATATGTGCTCGCGGTTGTGTGAATAAACTGCATTCTTATTATAACGAGGGACTATGGAATGGGAATTAGTTAGTATTGGTAATAGCAATGGCAGACCTAGGTGGAGGCTCCCATCTTGAAGAGGATCTCGAAGTGGATGAGGACGACTTGATGCCTGATCTTAATGCTGATGAGGAAGTGGCGGGGGGCAGCGGGGATGTCATCACCAGTGGCCGAGTACCGACTCAACCAAAGGACGATGATTTCGTGGCGCGTGAAGCTGAGGGTCCTAGGAGGACCTCCCCCTACATGACCAAGTACACGGCATTGGATGCCTTGGTGGTTGGAGAAAGCCTCGAGCTTAGATACGAACGAGCCCGGATAATCGGCACTAGGGCGTTGCAGATCTCCATGAACGCTCCCGTGATGGTGGATACGGAGGGTGAGACCGACCCAATGGCCATCGCTGAGAAGGAGTTGGTGGCTAAGGTCATCCCCTTTATCGTGCGAAGGTTCCTCCCTGACGGAACGTAGGTTATCTATAGAGTGTTCGTTGTGATGGTATGAATTAGGTATGAGGATTGGAAGGTTGAGGAGCTCATGCAGGACCCTTGAGGGAAGCGGCTGCTGCTCTCGTTATATCCCGTAACACACTATTCTACGTATCACCAATTTCCACATCCTAACGAATGTGCCGAGTTAAGTACTCCTTCACTCGATAGGTCCATTCTGAGGCTTCGAATAGACCCTGGCGTGCACCCTCACATTCCATTGCTAATCCGTTACACCGCGCCGCTCGCTCGCCCGTTGGTGGCAATTGTAACGGCTGGGAACCTTCCTCAGCATTCAAGTTTTACTATGAGATTACCGGTACCATCTGCTCTTTCCGTAGATGTTGATGCTCAAAGTCCGCTTTTTCAGAGCGCCTCGACTCTCCCCGCAGCAACCTCCTAGATTGGCACTAACGTCCCATGCCGTTGGTGAAAGGAACTCCCTGTCTCTTACGGCGGAGATCAGCCCCGTGGTGATGTTATCGAGCGTAGCTCTTTAAGAATTGCCAGAACCCAAGATCTCTACTCTAGCCCTTGGAGCCCTTCCTGGGCCGTCGGCTGAATGTGACGCCGTCTGTGCTACTTTGAATGGTGCAGGGTAATATCGTGAGTAGCAGAAAAGGTCGTTGCTGTCCATTAAAGAGGCGACCAACCGTATGGAAGTGGCGAGTATACAATAACTACTCTGGATAGGTCTATTGATACTGGAGATGACAGTGCTCTTCTGAGCGAGGTGTAGAGTGGAAATTTGTTATTCATGTTTCACCCGAGTACATGTCAGTTGTCGTTTCACAAACTACCTCCTGAGTTAGGTGAGACCTTGTGATTTAAGGTTTGAGTTGAGAATACCCTAAGCCTTTGAGAATGTTGATACCGCTAACTATTAGGGAACTCAAAGCAATGGTTTTGGGAACAAAAGAAAATCAACTAGTTTCTAGTATCACTCATGTTATGATTGTGATATCCTGAGTGCTGGAGCCTACGCCCATCTCGATGATTAGTATTTTAAAAAGCTTACTCGTGGTATAGCAGTTGAACCACACGGGGGGCCTTCCAAAAAGTTTCTTTGATGCAAGGAATCAGCTCCAGGAGTACCCTACAGAGTGGTTGTGTATGTCTTCGAAATGTCGGTTGTTATTGGCAATTCGCAGCAAAACGTAACGACAGTAACAAATTGTTCGAAAATTGCAAGTGAAAGATCAGCTGTTCAGAATAATCTCAACTTGAGTAAGTTACTCCATGGCTCAGCTTATATACATAAATTATATAACTTCCTATTGTAAATAATTGGATGTAGTTGCATCTAAGCACGCGTAGCTCCGATGGTCATACCTGTGTCCTCACTATAGTCCCAATCGCGATAAATATCCTCCAGTGTTTGGTGTGTATGGTCCATCATTTAAATGGGCATGGAGAAAAGAACTTGACGTCATGAATCGACCTCAACTATGGGGCTTGCTTGGTAGGAACGTTTCCTCCCTGGCCGATCGATTCGCGACTCGAGCTCTTTCCCCATTGTTACGCTAGGTCGCGGATGGAAGCCTGGGATTTTCTGTTCAGTAACTTCAAGCTCTTCAATGGGTGCCCATGACCCCTGCAACCGTGGTCGTCTGCTAACCTCAAGAATTCTTAGGTGGGAACCATCACCAGATGGAGTATTCCGCAAATTCCCCTCCGTACTGTAAAACCCAACAAAAGTCATCACCATAAATTCACCACCAATGATTGAACAACAGCAAAGTTCATTCTAGGCTAGTAAGAACTACCAGTGCAACCAAAACTCATGATAAGAACAACCGATCGAGCACATGTACAATATAACTGAGCTCGTCTCTCATATGAAAAGTTGAATACAATTATCTCCTGAAGTACTCCTATTTCAGTTTCTAGTTTAGCATAAACTTTGATGACCCGTTGAGCCATTCGTCACCACAGATCGCGTTGACATTGACTTATAACACTAGCTAGAGCGTTACTATTTGGAACAATAGACTCAATACAAGAGCAACAGCAGCAGAAGAACAGCTTCCTAATAGCCATAGCTACGACAACTCCGGGCAGACAGATTCCACATTACACATCTATGGCACGGTAGAGTGATCAACTACATAGTTAATCAACAACTCTACTTGTCGCATTGTTCGAGCCGACACTCTTTCATTCTTCTCAACTCATGTGGCCAGTCATCATCGCTTCCCCACACATCCCCCAAGTACAACAAAACTCACTCAAGTTCATCAAATTCGGAGGTAGGTCTTGGTAAAAATGGTAATAGAATTATGAGATGTAATATACAATAGAAATTCACAACAAAGGTGGGCATGAATTCTGAACGGCTTGTCATCATCATCATCATCAACGCTCGCCTCCTGTAAGCAGCCTGGTGGTCAGCGAGCTGATGCCTCGAACAGCTAAACCTAACATGACTCCCCATTTCAACGGTTTTCCTTAGTTATTGCACAAGTGAGAACTACCGCCGAATACGAGACTATCAATGAGGAGAGCAAGTTTCTACCACTTATGCTGGAGTTACGCTTTCGAGGCATTTCAATCGTTCTGCCCAACGTTATAGTGTTGTAATGACAGACGACCATGCTGTTCTATTGACCACAGTCCATTTTTCCAACTCCACATTTGATGATCGCGAAGTCGTCATTCTTAAATTCCGTCTTGTATTTCACTTCCCTCCCAACAACGGCTCACCTGCAGCAGCTTGCAACGCGCTACCAAATACCCCAATAATCTCGCCAGCTACACTCCCAGGCTGATGAAGGAGGCCCGTCCGACCAGCACGAATAATGTGATCAACGTCATAATGAATGCTCGTGCTAATATCCTGATAAAAGCGGGAATCTTGCTATCTTGCATTTCCTCAACGCCCCCACACACCAGAACAAGCTCCTTTCTCTCTCGTATGGCTAATACGATACACAGCATTTCCCTTCGCCTCTCTGCAGTCGAGTCCTTCGCCGAATTAACTTCGAGAATCGACAATAGCAACCTCAAAGACTTCTCCAGACTAGATGTCCACCCCGACAACAACCGTATAGCACGCATGTACCTAAAGATTCAAACTAGGGCGCTGCTGAGGCCGCCTTACGCCTACCCAGGAGCAGCAGGAGTGAGGTAGAGCACCACATAAGAGCGGGCCAAGACCCCTAAACCGGATTGCATAGTTCAACGGTCTCCTCGATCAATGCCTACAACAACAGCAACACTCACCCACCAATGTTGGAATATATGTTCGCTTTCCTCAACTGAGCTCGGAAGTTTCCTCACTGGGTAGTTCATATACGAGATGGAGTAGAAACGTCGAGAAACCAATGAGAATTTCCCGAAATTTCCTCGCAATTTTCATATCGTCGCCCACACTTCTGCTCATCACCCTCCCACTTAATGCCTCACCTCAAGCGTCGGCTCAATCTCAACCGCTTCACACAGACGGCCCCATTGCTCAGCGTCAACCACCTCCTGAGAATCCTCATTAGCCTGTGTGAACCCTCGAAGGCAGTCCGCACGTAGTCGACTTGAAAGGAGCTTATTCACCGACTGTTGGCCGAAACGCCCACGGGCATCTACCAAAGATATTTCTAGATGAGGCCCCACAGAGCAAACTCACCCCCAGAGCCGGTGGAAAGGGAACTCCTCCTCCGGTCCCCCGTATTGTCCGCACCCATACACGTGTAGTGCGACGGGCGCCATCTCGCGCCACACATGTAACAGAACTCCCCACCACACTGACGGCAAGTCATATGGTTACAACCGTATGAACCTGCAAACATAACACCAAATCGATCACGCGATCGATTTCGTTCCACTCAAATCAGTTCCCTTCCTCAAGGCTAAGCACTCTATTACACGCACTACCCACACCACGATCAGGATACACTCCGAGATAAACGCATCAGTCTGATGCGTTTATCGGCGCCTAGTCGTGACATCTCGGGCGCCCACGATACTATTGGGCATGTATGATAGCAGCAGCAGTAGGTAGATTTAATTAGGTATTAATTAGCTATTCAATTGAAGGCATTGTATCGTTAAAATTGTATTTGGGTTTTTAAACACTTTTCACTTCTTTCCAAGTGGCATTGACTTGTCGGGAGGAACATCATCCCAGTGTAGGGGGGAAATGCACATGGTCAACTACATGTGTAACACATATAGTCATTTACATGGCTCATGTTACCAACACATGATGTGTTGGTGAGAATATGGAAATTCTGAGAGGAAATTCTTGTTGCTTTCTCAACATCTCCTCCCGAATTTCTATATAAACTTCTATAATTAGTGACGAAACTCCCGAGATCATCCGAGGAAAAGGTAACATATATTCCCCAACCCGGACCGATTCCTACGCAGTATAGGTGCCGAACAGTCGATGCACTTAGTCGTATGACTTTCCACCCATCCCTCCGACTCCTCATCTTCAGCCGAATGCTGTGCCTTCACCGCCTTATCAAATTCCTCAAGCTGACCGCCTGAACAGCAGCGTTGAGGAAATGCAAGTGAGAGCAAGATAGCAAGATTTACCAATACTCACATTTAGCAGGTTCATGAGGGTCTTTCAAACAAGAGAAACAAAACTCGTGACCACAGGAGCAACGAACTGTCGTTGCGGCCGAGTTAACCGGTTCTAATTTAACACTCCTGCCGCATCCTGGCGCTGGACACCATCGAACCTGATTTAAACTCCACATCGATCGGTCAATGCATAATCGTTCGAGCGAAAAAATCCGAATTCGGGTAAAACGTTTTAATGACTTACATCTTTCGACACATCAACGTAATTCTGAGCTCTTATTTTTTCGCACTGCAGAGCCGTATGCTCATCCACAAGTAACTTGACGACCTGATCAAGCTAAATACTAACAGCGTGGGGGGGGAAAATATCCACATGGTCAACTACATGTTTTAGTGACAATATGAGAATTTTGAGCAAACTCAGGAGAATTCTTGTTGGTTTCTATACACTTTTATAATCAGTGAGGAAACTCCTGTGATCAGCTGAGGACATTAACTAGCTTAATCTTGCTATCTTGCATTTCCTCAACGCTCCCTACCTGATCGGGGATCCCTACTCGGCATCCTTCCGATGGACAAACCAACAACCTGGCATCACCCTCCTCAATGCGGACCTGGGCGGAAATATCCAACACGCTACCACAGTCTAGGAGTATATTAGTTCATTAATATTCATACACTTTTTACCACATAAATATATTTTATTTATATTTCATAGCATATGTTCATTCTGTTGATATTAGACTATGTTTGTTTTCCTCAACTGATTTCGTAACTTTCCTACTACATTATGAAAGTCCACAAACCATTTATGGTAGAGATATACAAAAACCAACGATAATTTCCCCAAAAATTTCCATATTTTAACCATGTGCATATATTCCCCCACCGCACTATGAATGATTCCTTCAAAGATACCCCACCTTAATGTGGCACGCCAGACACTGGTCACACACTGGGTGCTTGCACGGCAGCAATCTATAGCATTTTGCATTTTCCTCAGTCAAATCATCGAAGCACACCGGGCAACGTCGCTGTAGAGGAGGAGGAGGATGAGGAGAGGAGGAAGGCGATGAACCTTAACGTGGGTATGGGTGTTACGAACATCAGAAAATGACATATCACCAACACAGACGAGGAGCACATTGATTCTATTCTCACTAATAGTGTTTCTTATACGATAGACAACTATGATAGTGTTCCTCCCGCCTATGAAAGACATCGAAAAGTCTATTGATTCCATCATAAGCTTGGGAAAGGCACCCGTCGTCCCGAATCGACCTCAACTATAAAGATCGCCTGGTAGGAATCTCTCCTCCCCCGACAGATTCACTCGCCACTCGAATTCTTCTCAGAACTTTTGGCGAGGCCGCGGACATAAGCCGAGGACTTTCCCGTATGCCGAAACAACGATCGATTACATGAGTTAATCAAGAGACGACTCCACCCAGGCTTACTAGATATGCTTCCTTCCTTCCCCTCCGATTCCCCTCGCCTCATCCCCGGCCCGGTCGGAGACACGTCTGAACGATAACAAGTGCTTCAAATGCGTTGCTCTCGATTTCATTCATGACCCCTTAAAATGATATAATGCATAAAGTGATAAACTCGATCTTCCCAAAGGAAAATTAGGCTCACATCGGACCTATTTTGTATCTTACCATCCCTACCTTTAGATACTTTCCCTTCCCTCCCCCTCGCCTCCTCCACCAGATACTTCGGTATCTTACTCACCCCAGCATCTCGTAGAGCTTGAATCGGATCCGCCTCAAACCTGAAATAATTTCGTGGCGCGTGACGCTGACAACGAACGACCTACGCTTCAATCGCTCCATTGAGCTCAAACCGGTGGTACTTCAACAGATTGTCAGCATCAGCGCTACTCAAGCCACAGTAGAGTGATAACTGCAAGGCGATGAGATGTGCTAATGTGGAGAAGCGTGCGCGTCACCATCCAATAGAAATCAATATCGACGTGGATTGCGATATTTTTACGGTAAATTACTGAGAATTGAGGTAGAGCATTAAACCTGTTGCATCAACAATCTATAAGCTACAAAAGCCCGACCAAAAATCCTCATCACACAGACAAGCTCCTCCTTACCTCAGCGGTCATCCTTTGCATTTCCAAGATCCTCTCATCGTCATTCTCCTGTACCACCGCTGCTGTTCCCATAGACCAAGGGCCCAGATAAGTTATCTTCTCTGAAGAAATAACCATGATGTGGTATTAAATTCCCATGAACGACCGACCTTTAGATTTTCCCGCTAGCCGCAGGTCCTCTCGTTGTTGGTGAAGGGCATCTTCCACCCGATCAAACCTCTCCCGTTTTCCCTCTAGACCTGTGAGGTTCGTCCAAGATAGTAACCGTAACTGCAACAACGCTGGAGTGCGATCATTCACATTTTCAAATTTGTCTCGACGATAGCACGGTTTTAAGCGTCTTTTTTTCCGGAAAAAGCGTCAAAAAAGCGCAAGATTCCGGCAATTTTTCCGGAATTCTCAATTTCGATGGAGTTTAACCCGTGATTTCAAAAACCTATTCCACGACTACTGCATACCACCGCGAATATCGTGTTTTTCACCGAGTTTCCCGCCACTTCGCGTAAAACGCGTAAAACTCCAATAAGTCGCTCGGTAAATTTGCACGGCTCAGGCTCACTCGCCCTCGTATGTCAGTAACCATCGCAGATGTGACAATTGCAATTCACCACACGAAATGTCTTCACTTCAACTACACGCTATGGCAGTTTCAGCTCCGAACCGCGAACACAAGTACGCTCAATCACGAACCAATCGACTCACACTGCTGAGACTAGGCGCCTCCACTGCGAGATCCACCGGGGTCTTCCCATCGATATTCCGACAGCCCTGACCGCGGCCATCAGGCAACCGTCTTAGTATCGCTCGAAGCGTCTCTGGTAAAGCACAAGTACAGCAGAGATGCAAAGGCGTGTTCAGGGAGGAATCAACCACCTGGAAAAGAATTTTATCAAAAGACGGTACCCCTCCAACCGCCGCTCACCAAGAGGTCATCGTCCTCTATAAAGCCAGTGGTGAGTAAATACATTAAAATACCCGCCTTGTGGGAATCGAACCCGGGACTTCCGCATAGACAGTGTATAGGAAGGGAGAACCTCTCCTCTCTGACCCAGGAAGCCAAGATAATAAACACGATACACGATATCCCCGCACCGCGACGATTTCACTCAACAAATAATTTCCACCAACCACCAATCGATTCCACTTAATCTAACTACTTGAGCAGCAACCAGGGAATCATCCAGGAACCCATAGTGCTGTCAGGGGGAAATTCATTTGGAATTTTGCACATTTCTAGGAGCACATTCTCCAATCAGTTTCTGATGAAAATTTCGTCAAATTAAAAACATTATCAGACCCTGCGCAAGGTTATTCCTCAAATGTCCGAGACCATCACAAGCAGCAATCTCGCGTTAAGACACAACTAAACCAACTAAACTTTCCTCCACCAAAACATACCCGTGGATCAGGTCGTGCTCATCATATACAAAATCCTTAGCATTCGCCCCCATGCTTATCCATCGTTGACTGCTCTTCTTCACCCATGGAGTGAACACTCTATACCACTTGGCTGGCTTCGTGAAGGCTCGAGGCCGGACCTGAAATATTCAGCATCTCCCCCACTCACTGTATCATACATTATGAAAATCAAAGTCGTTTCTCTCTCTTAGTCGCCTCCCCTGGCGTTCTATTTCGAGTTTGATTCTCCCCCTCAACCCCTACCTCCACACAGGCCTGAACCTCATCCATGTCCCCTTTCTCGAGAGCGTATTTGAGCCGCAACTGGAGATCGTACCGAACAGCGTCTTCACTGACTGACTCTTTATGCCAAGGCGCGCGCGGCGACAGGAACCTCAGCGACATTCTCAACTACTACAAAATTTAACTTCGAAAAATCCCATCTAGAGCGATCCAGAAGGCACCCGAAACCGCCAGCGCGAATGGCAACTCAACCCTGAGACTGACAACAACACGTGTTCATGCATCGGCCGATCGAGCGATGACAGGTAGTTGGTAAGGGGCTGTAAACTTCTCGATAAGATGCAGCACAGGTTCGACTCCAGCAGCCTCCAGGGCACTGAGAAAAAAGAGCATACGATCGATATCGCTAAAGTCAGCAGAAAACCTAAAATATTTCTGACCAAGGGAGATACGGCATGCTCCGTCGAGGGTCGAAGACAGCGACATACCCGAGAGCTCACCTGAGGACATCTCCACAGCGATCATCACCACTCCAATGTCTGGGGTCGCCAACAGCTAGAAGGATCCTCCGCTCAGAGGGTGTTGTCAAGATAGAAGCCTAAAAAAATACCCTCACCATGAATCGAACCCGAGTCGCTACCTCCTTCAACGTGCATCCTAACCTCTCGAGTAAACGATCAACTAAATCCCCAACCGTCTCATCTTCGTCACACTTAACATCATACCTCCTCCAACTACCCTCTATCTGCACTGCTATCCGAAGCCTCATCGTCCTAGCCAAATATAACTCCTTCAGTTCCTCATCATCATCACCAACAATCATCACCTCCCAGTCGTCGATACATCCACTACCGCAGTCCCCTCAGCCTCACCCCTCCCTGCTCCCTCCCTCTCAGCCGCATCCGCTGCCATACCACGCTTCAATAACTTTCCCCTACCAACAAAATCGACAGGTGGTGGGATCGAACCCGACACCTCCCGGTTCTCACCTGTCCCTCACTCGAGCACGGTAATCCCTCTCGACTTTCTCCCAATACTTTATACCACTCCTCCGATGATACCGTTGCCACCTCTGCACATCCTCAAGACACTTATTGCCCTGCTTGCCTGAAACCAAGTCAATACCACTCCATCGCCACTTCCTCACCACAACACGACGCACGTGAGTCGATGCTCTACTTGAATTCACCACCCCTGTACATATAACTTCCAACCAACCTTTGCACTTTTTGAGGACTTCCCGGACGACTCAACAGAATTCACCAAAACATCATCGCAAATTCTCTAAACTTTTGCGTCCAAAAATAAGGAGAACCGCGCTCCTAAAATTTCTTCCAGGGTAACAGCGCTTCCCTGCTGGCGTAACTGAGGATCAGAAATGCTCTCAGACCCACCCACTTCTCCCCTGCGGTCTTTTCCAAAACGACTTCCCCTCGCCGCCATCACCCGCGATGAAGTCAGGCATTGAACAATCATACGTCCTATCCGGCGCTATAGCCAACTCGGCAAAGCGTATGCTCTTCAGCTCTTCTCGAGAACCTTGAAGCAAGAGGTCCCAGGTTCGATCCGCGCACCTCGCATTTTACCAATTGATTCTTTCGCCATTTTCTTATCAAAGTAGTCCAAGGTCAGAGGTTGGGTACACCAAGGTGTTGGTCTAGTCTTCTCCCCCGCACCCTTCCCTTCCTCATCCCTCGATCGATCAGCAGCAACCTTCCCTACACCTTCTCCTAGTCGGCCGATGTTGGGATCGAACAAACCGCCATAGTTGCCTTTGGTAGAGTACGCGAACTCTGAGTAACAATACGTATTGCTGCAATACCAATAAGTATGAATAGTGGGGAGTGTGGTATTGCTGCAATACCACACTTCCCAGTGATCATCTCCCATATAAAGTACCGATTCCTCCACATCTCCTACCATAACTACACCAAATACAATACATCAAAATTTCAATGCAAATTCCAAGTGGCCACTTCCCCAATAATAACTCCACCTTTCAAAAACGGCTTAGCCCGTCTCCCTTCCTGCGGTCCACAAGCTCTCCCACTGTCGTTATCCAACGGCTCCGATTTCACCTACCCACCACCGCACAGCGAATGATATTCCTCTACAGCCACCGTCTATTCCGACTCACTCGTGCATCGTCTCCTATAACCAAACCGGGCGCGTCTGTGTAGGTCCAAGGGGGACGGTTATGCTGAAAATTCAAACCATGAGCAATTCATGAAATCTCAACAACAGTAGTGAATCAACTCAGCGGTGGTCATAAGTAAATTTTTATGGCATTTACTGTATACTATACAGCCTCATTAGCTCATACAAAAACTAACCTCAACGTATATACGAACATCCCCCATTTAACGTCAAGTGGCGCAATACTATATGAAAAACCCGATATTCGCGCTATACAGCAGTCGTGATTCACGACTCGTGAAATATATTTTTCACTAGCGTTTTTCATATGGCGAGTGAAACTCCACTGGTGATACGCACATATAAATGGCATACACGATAACCCTGTACCATCACAATATCAATCGATTAAAAATGACATATCTTTTATAATTATGGAG